GCTCCGTCACCCTCAGAGGGAAGAAGTTCTTCCTCATCATCAGATGGACCTTCCTATGCTTCAGTTTGTGTCCGTTGCCCCTTGTCCTGTCTCTGGGCACCACTGAAATGAGTCTGGCCCTGTCCTCCTGACATCCACCCTTGAGATACTTATAAGCATTTATAAGGTCCCCTCGCAGCCTTCTCTTCTTCAGGCTAAACAAGTCCAGCTCCCTCAGCTCGTAGGAGAGATGCTCCAGTCCCCTCACTATCCTCGTAGCCCTCCGCTGGACTCTCTCCAGTAGCTCCTCATCTTTCTTGAACTGGGGAGCCCAGAACTGGACACAGTGCTGCAGATGGGGCCTCACTAGTGCAGAGTAGAGGGGGAGGAGAACCTCCCTCGACCTACTGGCCACACTCCTCTTAGTGCACCCCAGATGCAGATCTGACATATCACTGACGCTGGCTCACACACGGAAGGGAGAGCCCTCACCTCAGGAAGAGTTAGAAATGGTGTTTGGTGAGTGGACAGGACAGATTGTGCTCATCAGGCACAGGCATGGCCAGACCAGCATCTGTCCTCGGCCACCAGCCACCTGTTTACACACAATTGGCCACTTTTTATCTCACTTCCCCACATTTGTTCTCCGCAAACTACCTCGATCACTGCCTTTCCCCACATTTGGCTCCTCCCCTGACCATCCTGCAATAAGCCTTGTGGAATCCTGGAATGCTCTTGCCCTGCACCTGTAGCGTCCTTGTAATCGATGACCTTGCTGGACTTGTCAAATGCAAGATGAAAGACAAACTCGGATTGAGGTGTCTCTCAACTCAGGTGTCAAGAGCCCAAGAGCTAACAAAGGGAGTGATTAACTGGTGCTTATCTTATCAAACAAAAGTAAGGGGGGATAGCTCATCACTGTAAACCAAGTGAGCAGCCAAAGATTGCTTTGGATAAAGCACAGACGGCCCCAGGATGCGCATACCAAGATGCCGGCTCCAAAGGCGTGTCACACTGCTGAGTCCTGCTTCCGATGACACGACATTCCATGCCAAGAGCCAATCCATACACAATAATTGACTTAGTCCCACCTTGCAAAAAGATTTCCAAACATACAAAAATTGGCACTTGAAAACTCGAGTCCCCATCCCTGGAGGTGTTTAAAAACCATGTAGATGTGGCACTTCAGGACATGGTTTAGCAGGCATGGTGGTATGGGATGGATGGTTCAACTTGATGATCTTAGAGGTCTTTTTCAACCTATGATTGTATGATTCAAACTTCAGGAAAGGAAGTCTTGTAGCTACTAGCTGACACCCACCCTCCACAGAATCACAGAATCACAGAATCACAGAATAGTAGGGGTTGGAAGGGACCTCTGTGGGTCATCTAGTCCAACCCTCCTGCCGAAGCAGGGTCAC